TTCAAAAAAAACATCTCATTTTAATGAACTAAATATTGAAAGATCTACTACTAAACTTTTTACATGATTTTTTTCAACTTACCCCTTTTTAAGCTGGGTTGTAGCCAACGGAACTTCACATAAATATAAGTACAGTAATAATAGTCAATGCACATCCTGACGAAAGATGCATGATGAAAAAGAAACTCAAATAATCAAAGAAACTCATTTTTCGACCGACGAAAAAAACACTTTTATTTAAAGATGTTCCAAAAGATGGATGAATGAAATGGAGGAACTTGATACGAAATGAACAAGCTCCAGACGAGAACGGACACCAGATAAGACTCCCATCCACAAAGTTCCAGCGACGACTCCACACTGACTAGAGCAAGAAACTGAACTTTATTTCTGTAAATAATTGCTCAGTGGCATGAGAAAGGGAGCTGATAGTGGCCCCTTTGTCTATAATCTGTCCTAAGCTGTTCTGATAATGTTAATGATAAGATGGCATAGCTCAATTCAATATTCAAAACAGTGGATCTTCACTGCACAGTTCTGTCTCAACATGCTTGTATCATAGCAGGAGCCGTGTTACTAGAGAGTGAGTATGGATCACAAAGGATATAAAGATAATGAATATAGATTCTGTCCTTTCCAGGTAAAACATATAGCCCATGGTAGAGACCCCTTTTTATCAAATCATCATATTAATTAAAATGTTCATTAATTTAAAAAACAATATTTTAATTTTTATAGCATTTTAACATCCACCAAAAACTTCGTGAATAGCTTCATCTCATCGTAAGCTACACTTAATTTATTTACGAAAATTCGCGGAATTGGTGCGTTTTCAAACTGGAGGTGGGCAAACTTTGTATATTTAGTTACTAAAGACTCATGAACACAAGAAAATTTTGTTTACAAAAATATAGGGCCCTTTGGTGTGACGTTCAACATGTCAGAATAAAAAGATTATACATGCCAAACGGCTAAATATTTTTTAGGCCACATTTTTTTCGATTTTGTGATCAGATTATCTCATGCTTCAAGTTGAAAGCAAATGGGTATTTACGAGTTTTTTATTACCTCGTTAAATTAATTGATTTGATGAGAAAACGTCTCATTATTAAAAATTACTATACACCCATTAAATATCATCCAAATCCCCTTGCACAATCCCTATCAAGCACCACCCATCCATATAATCTTGCGAGAAGGTAAAAGCGGCACACAGATCAGGCCGATGACCCATCTAAGACGACAAAATTCATTGACTATAATTTTCGACTGGAAATCATGCATTTGTCACAAATAAATATAAATAAGACTTTTATGGTTTAAATTTATTTAATATAATATTAATTTGGGAGCGGAGTAGCTCAGTGGTAGGGCACGAAGCTTTCAGTGCTCGCGGTCCCAGGTTCGAACCCCGGCTCATGGCAGAAAATTTATTTATTCTGTCTTGGTCATGGGGCGACCCTGAGGTTAGGGAGACCCTCCTGAGGTACACCCAGCCTCTATAAAGTGGGTGTACCTCTATAAAATTAAATAATTGATTAAGGGGAAAAATTTTGAGCGTGATCCTGGCCCGATGGTTGTAGTGGTACAGTTTTTTTTTTTTAATATTAATTTATGGTAAAAATACAAAAAAAAAATCCAGATTTTTTTTAAAATAGCAAGAATTGGACTCATTTAGGATTGGAAATCATGTATTCGTCACAAATAAATAAGACTTTTATGGTTTAAACTACTTAATATAACATTAATTTATGGTAAAAAATATTTATATTTCCAGAGAACTTTCAGAGGAAAAAATTAACAACAAAATAAATAAAAGAAAATATTATGTACAAATTAATTTAATTTATTCCCATATCCTCAGTACCTAACAGTTAAGTCCCTCATAATCGCTTGCTAACTGCAATTAAAATTTAGCGTTCATTTCCTTTGATTTTTTCTTTCCTTGTTGACACAGTCTGAAAAAAAATCCATAACCCCATAAAAATATGCTCCATCAAAATTTTGTAGACGCTTTATTTATTTATTTATTTTGTAGATCAAATAAATAAAAAATTTATTTTAAAACTTTAGCTTATGTTTTCTGAAAAAAAAAAAAAAAAACCTGTACCACTACAACCCATGAAGGATCTGGGGTTCAGTACTATTTAGGGAAAGCACTGTTTCTAGGTCAACGGTTGTGCAAGGAGGTGATTTGACCGATATCACGCTCAACCGCCAGGTTTTCCCCCTTAATTAATTATTTAATTAAGGGTACCCACTTTATAGAGGCTGGGTGTGCCCCAGGAGGGACTTCTGACCCAAGGTCGCCCCACGGCCAATGAAACAGATAAATAAAATTACTGCCATGAGCCGGGGTTCGAACTCGGGACCTTTGCATTGGAAGCTCAGTGTATGTTTTCTGAAATAATTAAAAAATCTATTTTTAGCGCAAAGCTGCGCAAAATTTGGCCTATATTACTTTAGATAATATAAAAAATGCTAAGGAACGAAAAGGAAAAACAAAATTGTGGCGGCGGGATACCACGAAGGGAATTTGACAGATCGTATAAGTGTTATTTATATATTTCAAAGAATTGATTTAAGCCATTTTTTACTTGCAATTCTAAAAATAATTAACTGAATTATCAAAATCAGTCTTAAGCAATAACGCACACAAGCTCTGATTTAATCTATAAATAAAGTAATGTCAACTGGTGAAACTGAAGACCTTTTCGCCCAAACCTCTCTCTTCCGTAATTTACTGTGACAGTTTAAACGAACTTTGAAAATTTACTAGGCCACTTTTTAGGTCACTAACTATCTATAAAAAGGATGAAATATTAAATTTCTTAAATTTTGAAAGTTGTTTTTGTCCTCCTAGATCAGCGATCGGCCCCCACTGTGCGGCAGTGGCCCGCGACCTTTTGTTGTTTGTGTGTATTGGAGTTCCGGCAAGGGCTAGTGTTGCCCAAATGCGAGAACGAGACGAGTCTTGGTCGTAAAAAGTCAGTCTTGGTCACTGTCTTGGTCTTGCGCAAGAGTTTCGAAACAGTCTTGCAGTTACTTATTAGTTTATTAATATAGAGATATTACTGTAATTTTTTAGATAGGAGAAACATAACTTAGCCCGAATGAAAATTTAGAGGAGTTAAATGCAAAAGTATATTGGTTATACCAATTATTTACAAATAGTAACTAAGATTGTCAAGTATTCGTTACTATTTGTAATTACTATGCGAGACTTAGTCAAGTCTTGATCTTGCAAACTCAGTCTTGGTCTTGCGCAAGAGTCTCGCAACAATCTTGCAGTTACTTATTAGATTATTACTATAGAGAGATATTACTGTACTGTTTTTTAGAAGAGAAACATAACTAAGCCCGAATGAAAAATTAGAGGAGTTACATCCAAAGGTACATTGGTTATACCAATTATTAACATATAGTAACTAAGATGTCAAGTATTAGTAACTATTTTCCCTTAATTTTTACTTTAAAAAATCGATTTTTTTTACCATTCCTGGTCTCTGTCTTGCAACAGTTAGGCGGCCTTGGTCTTGGTCTTGCAAAGTGCAAGACCAAGACCGATTTTGGGCAACACTGGCAAGGGCATATTCTCCACTCAAGACCGAAGTGTATGTTAAAGCGCTCTTAATCAATCTTCACTGGCTTTAGCACCAGTGAAGTGGTTGAGATCGTAGCACAGAAATCTCTTGGAGTCCTGCTTTTCCCTCCAAGATTGGAGGGACAAGCCTGTCTCCGATTTCCTCCGTCTGATTGTTAATAGTTTATATAGGAATGCATGTTTTTTTTTTTAATTTTATCTTTGTTATTTTATTTTTATTTATCGAACATACTTTTTGACGATTATTTAGTTGTTAGTTTACTTCTATTTATTTTATTTTTTTACATATAGTGTGAATGTGGTCTTACCTCACTATAATAACTGTCCAAATGACAAAATATTATTACTCAATAAATAATAAGTCATTAGTCATTACATATAATACATATAAGTCATAAGTCACTACAATAAGTCATTACATGCTGATGATTTATAGTTAGGTATAGTGAAATAATTAGGTTTCAAAATAAATAGTTTCAGTTTTGTTTTACTTTCCAGTGTGCATAATCTGCAGATAGATACATTTAAGTATTTGGGTTGACGATATCTAAAAAGTACAAACAATAAAAATAAAATAATAGTGTCATTTCAGATAATATAATTATCGCTTTTAACAGCGATAACTGAAAATAATGAAATTCAGAACAATGATTACCTACTGTTTAAATATGAAATCTGATATGCAAGGTGCAGACTTAGGTTTGTGCTTCAGGTTCATCAAAATAACTAAGTAATCATTGAAACTAAATTATATATTGAGACGTCTTGCACAAAACGTTGACATTAGGTACCATATTAAAACCATACTTATCAGCTTGGCACAATGATGGGTTAATAAATCAGTCAAACATGATTTTTAACGATGATTTATGCACTGCTTAGAGACGAATATTGGAGTGTGAGAGAATTTTTGTGATACTTTCGATACTTAACAATTATGTAAAATTAATATAAAGTCCTTTCTTAAAGTCCTCAAGTACAAATTAAACGTCAGATCTTTTGTTTCTGAACATTTAGACATGATTTTTTATCGGAATTACTTAGATCTGTTTAGAAAAAGGCATGAATATAATCTTCTGATGAGAGAATAACCCGTGAACATTCGGAAAGCTAGTATTTTCTTTCACAACTTATTCGTTGGACTATTGTTAAAAACTACTAAAAATACTAACTTATCGAATCCTACTGCTAACATTCAAGAATAATTAATAAATTGAATGACAAATATTTGGGTTCTAACGCAGAAGGATCAGTAGAAATTGGAAATTATGGAAAACATTTTTTTGGAAAGATATGTTGGGAATCAGAAGGAAGGATAAGACAAAGATCCGAGGTATCCTTTCTAATGTAAGAGTAAAACATTTTAATGAGTTAGTAACGAAGTCCGAAAACAAAAATGGAGGTGGACTGGGCATCTGGTCAGACTGAAGAGTGGTCGAAAAGCATTTCTGAGTGGACTCCGGTAGAACAACCAAAGGAAGACGGTGGAGTGATGGATATGAAGGTGAAATGATGAAATTAGCGGCACAATGGAAAACAACTGAATCAAATTGGCCAGAGACAGAAAATGTTGGTTCGCAATTGCAACCTAATAAATCGAAGTTTAGATAAGAAAATAATTACGAGTTCGCGTAATTGTGCTTGTGGTTTTAACTGCGAAATTTATCCTCTGACCCTGAAAAAAATCCAAATTGTCTAAAAGGCAAAGACGGGGGTGGAGAAAAAAAAAGTGAAAAGATTCGAAATTGTAAAAAAAAAATATAGATAAAAATTATCTTAACGAAATTTTTAATGAATTATTTTATTACTTTAATAAATAAATTTTAAAATTGTATTTTTTCTTACGTTTTAATAAGTGTTGTGCGTTTTATTTTTTATTTTATTACATTGTTTCATTTGTATTTTTTTTTTTATGTTTTCTTTTCAATAATTATTATTAAAAATGACTGAACAACCAATCAGCCCAAAAATGACTGTTGAACTTTTCTAAGAATAAACCAGTTGTGAAAAACTAGACATCGTAATTATGTGAGACATCTCTTGTTGGTGTTATGGACATAAAACTTTTATTGGATTATTTATTTTATAAAAGCCATCCTGAAATATTCAGTAAAATATTCTGCAGTTTCTCAGAAATATTACTGCTTTTTCTGATATTGATCATTTAACCACGCTATCAATAAAATATTTCATTTTGTTGCTTAATGGATTCCTATTGAATTTCATTGATCCGCAACGAAACCATTTTTTCCCGGACGGAGACATCACAAAGCTTTCCTTTTATACCTAAAATGGGCTATTAAAAAATCATCTTCCAACAAAGGATCATAAGGGCCACTATTATTCAGCAGCAGCTTCGTAGAAAACATGAGCTAGCAATCCAAATAATTTGCAACAAATTGGTTATGGTCTCCATTTATAACAGATCGATCCAACGTTTGGAAAATCCAGTCGAATTAAACATAATTTTAGTTATTTACAGTTCTTAGTACTTAAGTCGACATTGTGGAAGGTCATGGCTATTATGTCCTTAGGTTTTCGATTCTTTTTATAGTTATAAATTAGTTGTTGATGAAGAATTTGCAATGGTTCCTAATGATTTTATGGAAAAATATATTTTGTTAAGTTGCGCTCAAGCAAAAAGGCATTTAATCGTCAATTTATTTATTTTATATTTTTAAATACGACGTTTCGGGCAGAGCTGAAGTCATTACCAAGTCTTATTTTATAATTAATTGATAATCCCCATATAAATATTTTTCTTTATTTGTTTCAATAAATAACAAATACGTCTTATTTAAAAAAAAAAAACTTCAGTTGTATCTATCATCGCTTTTTTTTTTTTAGTAGATATGGAGAGACTCTCCAATTGAACCTATTCAAACCTATTCAAAAGTCCTTTGAAACGTCATGCTTAAAATTATAAGCATTTAAACAATTAAAGAGATCAGAAATCGAATGGCTTTCTACTTCAGAAAAAATTATTCATGACACCAAAAATGAGGAACATGAATACAAATTTTTAAAATATTCTTACTCTCTGAAACTTAATTAAAATAATGCAATTTTTAATTATTTAATAAACTAACAACTAACACGTGCACTCTGTCTCAACTATTTTATTTCTTATTTTGACAACTATTTTATCATCTACAAGCTGTTGGCGATAATGACTGTGGTTAAAATGATTTATGTTCAAATAATAAAAAAATATAAGTAAACAAAGGATATGAAAAATAAAAACTTCCTAACAATCATTAAAAAAACAAAATAAATCATCTTCACTTTAGGATTACCGATCTATCATTAATGTTACCCGGATAAAATAGTTAAGGCTTATAATGAGAATGAATAAATTGAAGGCGGCAAGGAAATTTTATTACGGACAACTCAAAAGAAATTTGATCCTAGAGAAGATGGTGAGACAATGCAAAGGCCGTTCTGAAGAGTTTTGGAGTCACTGAAAGCCGAAACTCAAGCCCATCTGCGTTATCAGTACCGAAAGCCAATGGAATACATGAAGTCGTCTCTTCTCAGCTGAGGTCTTGTCATCCATACTTTCTATGCAAGGTATAATACAGAATAGTTTATTTTTAAAAGCTCATTGCGTTTTTATGATATAAATACAGTTCGATGAACACAAAATAGTCATCCTTTTTATCAAATTTACGTGACACCTATTAATAAAAATCGAGTTTAAGGTATCAAGCCGTTAAAGTAATTTTACCCAATCCGCAAACAGAGAAATAAGTTGCAAGTACATTATTCCGCGGAGGGAATATAGATATAAGATAAATACTTCCTATTTGTTGTGTTTCGTCTCGGACGATGATCCCTTCCTGAATGATATAAGGGAAAAATGGGGACTAGGCCTGTTAGCATTCCTGGGGCTGTTCCTCTCGGCAAGCGGAGTTTCGCAACTTGGAAAGTGTCAAAACCTTTCACTGGCGGGATCTACCGCCGCATGGGGGCATTGATTCAGGGGCCCGTTAGTCCGGAGGACATGTTTAGCGAGTTAAGAGCAGTCGTCGGGATTTAAGCACTCTATTTTGTACGAATCCCACTTGGAAATGTAGGTATGTGTTACGGGTGAAATACCAACGACCTGTCTGACTAAAGATGTATGCAGCCAAGAGCTCAGGAATAATATTTTTTTACAAGTTGAAGCAAAACCATACTACTATAGGACGTCAGCAGTTCATTTCAAAAGAATTATTTCATTATTACAGTTATTAAAGAATTAAAAAATTAGCAGGGTAGGATACTTTTAGCTTTTATGTTTTTAATTTTGATAAATTTGATCGAAAAAAACATTATTATTTTATAGTAAAGGTTATGTATTGAAATATAAAAGAATAAATAAAAATCAATAAATTTTAAATAAATTAAAAATAAAAAGGAAGTAAAATAAGAAGAAATAAAAACAAGAAAGAAAAAAATCAACCTAAATAATATAAAACGTTAATTTGAAAATTAGAACATTATACAAGTTAAAGGTAATAATGGTAATATCATTAGTCAGGAATACCAAGGGTGTAATAAAGTAATTAGTGTTGCCCAAAATGCAAAGTGCAAGACCAAGACCAAGGCCAAATAACTCTTGCAAGACCAACCTAGGTACCTCTTGCAACTGCAAGTTCCTACCCTACTCTACCCTCAAGAAACTTAAAATTATATTCATCTTAATTAAAACAATTCTTAAAAAATTGTAAAAAAAAATAATTACTATTCATTTAAATTTTATAATATATTTTCAATCAAAGGTAGAGAAAGAGTCTACTCATAAATAAATTGGTAATTAACCTAAAATAAAATTACACAAAATAACACTCAAAATAAAAATAAATGATTTTAGTATTGACTTTTTTTTTTTAATTTCCACATTCAATATTCGTTATTCAAGTTGAAAATTAAGGAATTCGTTAATATTTTTGAATAAAGAAAAAGATAAAATAAATAAATAAAAGACTCCACTTTTTCCCACTGTGGAGCTCCATTGCTATCTCATATAATAGTCTAAAGAAAATTCTAACAAATACATCTATTAAAAAAGAAAAGTAGAAAAACTACTTGATACAGTATATACATTTATGAACTAAAGATCGAAATATCCTCTAAATATTTTAGAAACTCACTAATTATTATTGTTACATTTTCTCTGGCCTCTTAAAATTTATAAAATTATTAGTTAATATATTAATATAAAAGCTAAAAATGAAGATGAACTTCATTAACAAAAAGAGGCTAAACGAAATTATTATTTACAAATAGTTATGTAAAATAGGGATTAATAAATTTTTAAAAAGTACTTTGATTGGTTAATTTATAAGATATAATTAATAAAAAGTTAATTGAATATAAAAATTTAAATTGAATTATTTCCGGGCTAAGAAAAGCAGGCTTATTACTATTTGAGAATGATTATTACAGAATGATTCCTTTCGTAAGCAATTTTTTTTTTTAATTTTTAATCTTGTAAATTTCATTTTTATGTATATACTTATGAACGGATAAATTAATAAAAAATAATTTATAGCTAGGAGCTTATTACACAACATGGGTACTATTACTCATTATCAGCGATTACTCATAATCGAAAGGAAAAAAATTGAAGACTAATAATAACTTAACTGAAATAATTTTAATTACCCATATTGACTAATACGAGAAACTATGTAAGACTAACAATCAATTTTAAGGTGAATAAATAAAGACCGAGGAATAAGGGCCTGAGGTACAGAGCGCTAATTGCTTTGACCTAGACCCTTACATATTGCATGGGGTGGAATAAGTTTGAAACTTTTCGATCGATACCATCACCTTGACCGTGCACAAAAATAATTAATGCTGTTAGATCGATTTTAAATTCGAACACAAGATGGGGAATACAATATCAAAAGAATGACGTAAAAATTCCCATAAACAAGAAAACAATACTATTTTAAATTACTACGAAAGTAAATATTTGAGAAATTTACTCGTCAATTTGAATACGATGATCTCTAAATTGAACAGTAAATGCTTTGTTTTTAAAGTTCATACCTAATATTATTACAACTTAAAGCTATGACTTTAATGATTCCTCACTTATTCCTTTGAACAGATCTGCAACCCACGACTCCGTCTACAGAAAGATCTTACATGGAATCATCATACAAGACTAAAACGGCAAGAAACTGCTAGATATTTCCGGCTAATTCAGCACTTACCAAGACAAAAGATTTAAACTTCAAGTTACCTGTAAAAGAGTTATTTCTTTGACTATATGTTGAACTGTGGGGCTCCATTGACCATCGATTTTTTCTCCTATCCAATCCTTACTATCTAAATGTTTCGCAAAATTCTCAATACTCCTTACTTTAGCACTAATAAAATTATCCATAATGACTTTAATGTTTTCTATGTTTCCGATTTAGAACAATCCAGATACCTATTATTAATGCCTCAACAATAAACTTCAGGCCAATCCAAACTCACCACTTTCAAACCTTGCACCCTCTTCGGTTCTTGACAATCTTCTTGGGCGTCTTAAAAGAAGGTAACCTCGGGACCTTCTACGTTCAATAAAAAAACAAAATTACGGGTTTAATGATTGAAAAAGCATAAATTTCTGGCAAAATAGGATTTTTTATAAAATCTTAAAGTCATAAAAAAAGTTAAATTACCTTTTATAATAGAAACATTTTAATAGTAAATAACTAGTTTTTATAGCTTTATTATATTGATTAAGTAATCGATTATTTTATTTTTCTTTATAGTAAATTTTTTATGTTTGACTTATTTGGTTTTAAAATTATTTTTATTAAATTCCAGGTAATATTTAAATGCCATAAAATTGTTTGTATCTATATTTATTTATTTAGATGTATTTATTTGCTGTGTAAAACTAATTATAGGCACCTTATTCAATTTCATATTCAAATGTATTTATACATCCAATGTATTATTAAAAAAAAATAACATTACTTACATATGTTTATTTTTGTGTAAGTAGTACAGATAACATAAGTGAACACCAAGGCGACATCTATATCAAAAAGCGAACATTCAAGGTAATGAAGGATATTCTCGCGATTTTATGTAGGATTACATTACATGCACTTAAACAATGTCCTTCTGTTATACAATATATTTACATACATAACGTATTGGTAATCGAGGAGCACAATGGGATTACAGGAGGCAATGGTATTCGTTCGAACCTTCCAAGGCTACTAGCGAGTGGGTAGGACTGAGGTTTCTGCTTACGAAGGCGAACTGTAGGGATTCATTATATTCATCGAAAACACGATGTAATTCAGTAGAACGAAATTAAAGTACAAGTATTTTCTATTATACAGTGAAAAAAAAAAGGGTTTACTCATTATGTTCGGTGCCGTATTTATCTATTATATGATAATTTTAGGGCGAAGATATCCGGTGCCTAATTATAATAAAAATAACTGCATCGCTTTTAAAAATTACTTTGAACTTATAAAAAATTACGTAATTTTAGCTACAAATCTTTCAGAGTTCTGACTATGAGTTTGAAAATTATAAAAAAAAAAATGCATGATAGTTGCTTCAGGTTTGATTAAAACTAAAACGATCTAATTTAAATTATATTATATACTGATTTAAATTTTATAAATTATATTATATTCATAACAACGTATATGATGTGTTAAAGTTGAAATATTTTATTTTCCTATTGACTAATTTCTTTTTTTTAAGGTCCAAATTTGAAAATGCTTCATGAAGCTGAAACGTCGATAATAATGAAAGGGTATTAAAGAAAATTTTTTTGTGATATTTGGCTAAAAATGCTTTAAATTAAAAATGTTACTCTTAAACGGATTTTAAAATTTTATTTTGTTAATTCATTCCCCTTATACGTGGCATAATTTTTTGTTTTAAAACCAAAACGATATGCATTTTTAAATTTTATAAATTTTAGATTAAAGAATTTAAATAGGCCACGATTTCTAATAATACCTACCTATTATTATTTATATTACTTAATTGATTGTTTATTAACTTGAATTTGTTTGTAAACAACGTAGAAAACAAAACATTCTACTAGCAAAAATTAAACACGTACTACTAAGATTGGATGGTATTTCTGATTGTTTCTGTATAAATGACATTTCGGGTATACTAGTAGGAAGTAAGAATATATCATTTTAGATTGCACACGAACTTTTTAACCGATATTCGGAATAAAAAAAAAATAAACATAGTGAAACAACAATAAATAAAGTAATATAGTAGACATTTTTTTAGGTTTTCAACCACAGCACGTTTTGAAAGATATAATAAAATATAATCAATTATCAATGGTCCCTATAATGCTCATAAGATACTCTGTGAGATCATCGGCAAGCCAATATAATAGAAAGTTATGTGGTTTAGTATGAGTGTGACATAATTTGTGTGTTTATAAGTTCAGATATGATTTTAAATAATTTTTGTTTTATAACAAGAGCCATGACGTATTCCTCACGCCTAGAAAGCATATTGTTGACTATATTAGTCGACCTTATGATCATCTGTATGCACAAGCCACAGCTGATAGACACTCACGCTGGATAGTCACGTTTTAATTCCCATAACTCCCAGCAACGTATTGAGCCAGTGTGGATGATAGATTGGATTTTTTTTTGTAATTATAAATAAATAACGGTTATTTTCTTTCCTATAACGGTTTCTTTTTCCAGAACTAGTAGGTTACGATTTTAACTGCCTGTATCTGAATTGAATAATAAAACGAACTCAGATAAAGATGTAGGTGCAATATGATTGATTTTAAATTATAGCAGTATTAAAAAATCATTAAGTAAACGTCCACAACAGCGTAATTATTATTTTCTAGTTTGTGATTTTTTTTTTAATAATAATTCTTTCCTTACATCCTGCTTTTAGCGCCAATTCAAAAAATCACTCTCAATTTACTGCATTATTTTATTTTTATTTGTACGTTACAAAGATACTTTATTTCCCTCGTCAATATCTAAAATTATGAAAAAGGTTCCAGAGATAAACAAAATTAATTTCCAGGCT